TGGGAATATCCCATTCTTTTCTGGGCAAACCTGCAAACGTGGGCTAGGGACAGACATTCAAAAAGCATGAGATTGATTCAATCTTTGCAGGTCTAACCTGGCTAGACTGAATTGGTTCGTAACCCAACTGACATTCTTTCTGGACTGAGGAAATTCAGGCACATGCCTGCAGTGGCTCAGACTAGAAGCCAGGGGGCGCTACAGCAGCCCTCCCTTCCCTTCTATAGTACTGAGCTGAGTGGGCATGGCCAGGCCCTGGCAGGACACTCTGATTAAGGAGGTCTGCCTGCATGGTCCCAGGCTTTTCCCCACTGGCTGCTAATGGGGCAAGAGTATCACCAGTTCCCAGCTCCCTGCTAGCACTCTGAGACAAGGGGAGGTCTGCAGTGCATGCATCCATTGTAGGAAGCTTTTCAGTCTCCCTCCCTGCTTCTTTATACTATCTGCAGCAAACTAACAGGCCAGCAGGAGGCTGATAACAGTGTTTATCACTTCATCAGCAAAACAATAGGCTCTCTCCATTGGGGCAAGAGTATCACCAGTTCCCAGCTCCCTGCTAGCACTCTGAGACAAGGGGAGGTCTGCAGTGCATGCATCCATTGTAGGAAGCTTTTCAGTCTCCCTCCCTGCTTCTTTATACTATCTGCAGCAAACTAACAGGCCAGCAGGAGGCTGATAACAGTGTTTATCACTTCATCAGCAAAACAATAGGCTCTCTCCATTACTTCAAACTCTTCTTAAACAGCTTACCTGTTGAATGGTTGATTAGCTCTAAGTAGCCCTATGCAGTCACTGTTCTGTCTGCCTGTCCCAGTGAAATTGTGGAGAGAACAACAGACACCTCTTAGCATTAGTCAGCATACCACATGCCTAGGGTTCGTGGGGCTGAGGTCTGTACTGTGGGAGATGGGAGTGAGGGAGGGGGGAATCCCTGCTTGAGCAGTGAGGGGAAGGGGTAGGTAGGGCAGGGGGAAGCCAGGCAGACCCTGCTGTGTCTGCAGTCTCTTCTGGAGCTGCAGCCAGGGAGCAGAGGGGTGGGGCCAGCTCTGCTGCGGAGCAGAGAACCCCACCAGCCCAGAGAGCATGCTGGGATGCTGGGGGAGTCTGGTTTATCTTAAACCAGCAAGGGGTCTGGGACAGACATTGCATAAACTGGTTTGACCCAAATCAGTTGAGTCTGATACTACATTCAACCAGGTTTATCTCAAACCAGTTTCAGCCATTTTCAAATTGGTTTATGTGCACTGAACATCTGTTCTGTTACAGGTTTAAACCAGTTTCTGATCACTTGAACTGGTTTATGTGTAATGTCTGTCCCTAGCCCCGGAGTTAGAGGAGGGGGTAGAAGAAGAAAATAGGAAAAGGGTACTGCTATAATTTTTCTGTCATACTAAGGTAAACTGAGAATCAGAGTTGAGAGTTATACTGGTTTAAAACTGATGCTGAACTAAGATCTGTCTGATATGTAAAGCTACCACTTACCAGCCTTATAACTAATTAATCCTTATAGCTAAGCCCAGTTTGGCTAGGCTCTGTGCAGCTTTCACCTAGCTGGGAATATAGCCAATTTTTCTTTTTTAAGCATCTTTATTGGTGTGTTCTGTTGTGTTCTTAACTGAAAGGCATCTCATTTAAATACAGCACTCATTTGGATACCTCTTCTAACACGAAAGGAGAAAAGTTAACTGTCCTTCAGGAAACACAAGACGGTTCTATGCTGGAGATGCAAGAAGCAAACACATGGAGTCTGTTGATGTAAAAAATGCCTATATTAAAAAAGCTATCAGCCTTGTTACAAAAACTACTGCAGATGGCAGGAACATGAGAGTATGTCCTGGCATAAAGTGAGCCCTGTGACCTTAGAGAAGCTAGGGATACAGTGACCTATGGTCACAGTTGCCATGTAATTGTTTCATGAATGAACTGAACTTTTCACATACAAAGGTCTGAATACAGCTGGGCAAAGCTTGTATTACAAACCCCAGAGGCATGTGCAACTCTCCAACTTTTGGGTAATATGAAAAATTTGAAATTCATTGTAGGTTTGTCAATGGCTTGCTAAGATTAATCAGCCTTTCAGGTGCGTAGAAACCTGAACCAGTTCAGTCTTTTAGTTGAAACTTGGTGGGGTTTACTGAGTTTCACTTCAAGTTTTTATGCTTAATCAAAATGAAACTCAGAGTAGCATTTGAAGGATCAAACCAGAGAGATTCTCTTGTAAGCTGGAATTATTGTGCCACTTTTAGATTGCACTTTGACTTCTGAGGAATGGTTTAATATATTTTGCATAGATGTAATTGAAAACATAACTATTAACAAATGCCATGCTTCTATGGTTGATATATACTATTTTACATCTCACTCGAATCTCAGGAAAAAACGATGTTACTACCTCCAGATTTTATAGAATCATAGAAAGTACGGCTGGAAGAGACCTCACAAAGTCATCTAGTCCAACCCCCGCTCAAGGTAGGATGGATTGTCCCTGACTAAACCATCTCAGTCGATTGTTTGTCTAACCTGCTCTTAAAAAATTCCAAGGATGGAGCATTTGAAACCCCTTGAGAGCCTTTTCCAGTGCTTAACCATCCTCATAGTGAAAAAGGTTCTTCCTAATATTCAACCTACAAATATTTAAAGTATTATAAAGTAGTTTAGAATTAATAAGTACTTTATGCAAACCTGCTGCTTTGTAGATATGGTGTGATGACCAGAATGAATTAAAATATACAGTCAATCAAACTGCATAGAATTTAACAGTATTTGTGATGTTATACTCCAGCAAGCACAGGGCCACTTTGACATAATTTATAGTGACAAGTCGCATGGCAAATAGGTACACAACTTTTTAAATGATAAGGATCTCACATACAACTCCCCTTCCACATCACTTTAAATAAGTACTTCTTCCACTGAAAAGTATTCCCCAACTTTGAAGTGACATGATGTTTTTCTAGGCAGCTCAAGATAAACCATTAAACTGCCCAGTATCTAGAATCCTTTTTTTTTTCTTTACCTTTGTAAGAGATTGATCTGTTTTAAAGAATATTCTCTTTCACAGAGCAGCTTACAAATTCCTATTAGTTCAGTAAGAGTCTTAAAACACTTTTAATTTAACTGTCAGCAGAAATGCTCTTAAAGGTCTGATTACTTTAGATCTGCAGTCTTTCAGAAGGTATAGATTTCCATTTGGAACTGTTTGCCATCTTAACAATTACATTTTCTGATAAACATGGATATACATCAGATTTTAGAGCCATAGATTTCATTAAAATCATAACATTCAAAAAGAGTGTTGAGTATCATAGGGTCAGTACCTCAAACTGTATAGTGTATCTTTTTCAACAAAAATTAACATCGAATTTAATTAGATAGTGTTTTACCTTTTTTCTTCCCTCCATCTGCATTTGCTTGAGCACCAAGGCAGAAAAACAGCAAAAGTGAGAAAAATGGGAAATGTCTCATTTCGTCCTCTGCACGAAAACTGAGGCTTTGCTGCTAACTTCTGCTGCCAAAGAGATGTGAAAAAAACAGATTATCAATACACTGCCAGGACCGGTTGCCCATTAATCATTAACCTTTAAATCTCCTGTCCACTGCTCCAATATTTTCCTTCTCTTATCCAGTCTAATGAAATTGAATATGTTTATGTTCCAAGGCATCATTTTATTTTTATGCCACTTTTCACAGCAGTAATTTAGAACTGGATACATACCTCACAGACTAATGCTCAGTTCTGAAGAGATCAAAATGAATAAAAGTATTTTGTATCCTGAAATACTGCTGAAGGTCATGGGTAGTCAGCTCAAATTTGGTTGGCCAACAGCTCAGTCTGAACATATTGCAAAATGACCAAAGGAAGTGAAGGCTACTCTAAACATTTCTTAAACATAGACGACTCCAAGTAGGAGATCTGAGTTTCAAAACAGACAAATTTAGAAACTTCATTTACTAAGAAGTTCTCTTTTTTCAGTGTTATAGTTCAGGGTGTCAAACTTCATCTGACCCTGCAGGCTAGATGAGGGGCACAGTGTTGGTTTGTGGGATGGACTGGCCCCATAGACTGGCCCCATCTGCCACATCTAGGGGGAAGGGCTGACCCAGCATGGTTGCTACATGCAGTTTGCACCCTGGACTGGACCCATGTGCTTCTTGCAGCGTGTGTGCTGGCTCCAACATGTGTGGCAGATCTGTGGTCCTGATCTAGACCAGCCCCAGAGCCAGCATGCAGGGGCTAGTTCAGTGCAGGCCTCACATGCCATGTGTGTCCTTGACCAACCCCATACAGTGTGCAGCCTGTGACTGACTAGCTCCACACGCCACATGCAGCACGTTTCAGACCCAGCTCCATCCAATGCACTGGGGCAGTCTGAGGTGCACACTGCATGTGGTGCCCATGCTAGATTGGCCCTGCACAGAAATCTGGCATGCATAGCTAGTCTGCATCCTTGATCTGGATGGGCCCTGGATCCAGTGTGCAGCCCAGACTAGCCCCGCGTGCTCTGTGCAGTGTATGCACCAGCTCCAGCCCCTGCATTGTGTGCAGTGCATGCCAGATGGACTCACATGTCGCACAGGGCTGGAGCCAGCGTGTGGTACATGAGACCCAGAGCAGCACTGTGGGCTGGATGGTAGGGCTGTGCTGGTGGGATCCAGCCTGTGGGCCTTATCTTTAACGCACCCTGTTGTAGTTAATACCTATTCCTGGAGAAGAAGAAACTGTTTAAGCATACAGATTTTTATGGTATAAAAAATTTACCAATGAAACAAAACAAACTGAAATTTCCCTGAGCTTGTGATGGAGCAGCCACGGAGAAATTTGTTCTGTTTACAGATAGCTTCAAAATAACATTTTGTACAAGCAAAGACTATCTGCTAGAAATCAAAGCAGTGATGTGTCCAAATGCCACTGTAAACATCTATGGATCATGTCTGTTACCATGTCACTGAATAAAGGGGTCTCGTCAAGGAGGGAGGAAATGCTACTTGTTTGTACCTCACTGTAAACCAGGTAGAGTATTGTGTGCGAAGGGCTCTAGTAAACAAATAGATACTAAAAGCATCAAGATGTGACTTCACTTCCTGTAGACACCCCTAGGCTAGCTGAGATACTAATAACGTTGTAGTCTGGCAGCACAGTTCAGTGGGGCTGTAAAACTTTCAAACAGTATCATCTCACAGAAAATATAACTGCAGAATTTTGTTTTTCACATCCTAAAACACAAATCAGCTCAGGTGTGTTCTCGTTCTCTCAGAGTTCAAGGAAAAGTGTATGAACTTTAGCAATGCTTATGTGAAAGCTGACCTGAGTTTTGTGTGCGTAATATAATCTCAGACTAGCCACTTTTAAATTCCTTCTTAGGTTTTCTCATGAAAGACTTGCACAGTTGTAGTTGGGAAGGCTTCCTGTACAAAGAGGGATAGCAATTGTTACTTATTGGATGCGAGGTGAGAGCTGCACAAAAATATGCATCTCCAGGGTAACAATAAACTTCAAACCTTCCTCCCATCTAAAGAAAACAAAAGGAACATTTGCTGCTGAATCAAAGTGGAGAAAATGTACCTATAGTTCTGGATATATTGCAAAGCTTTTAAAGTTTTGCTCCCCATATCTGCAGTTTCATCGATCTCTCCTGGGTTCTTTAGAAAGCATAATTAGGACATGCTCTTAAATGAGAAAAAATGGAACCAAACTCTAAGGCATATTGCTTAAGTGGAAGGAATTATTTTACAAGAGTTGGAAGACTTCATTAATGATAAGTTAAGGGCTGCAGGAACAACATTGTCTGAATGATTAAGAAGTCTTGATGTGCACTGAAGAGATTATGTTGTAACTTCTCTGCTGTACTTGGTTTATAAAGGGGGTACTGTTTACGAATAGCAAATAAACGATAAAATGCTTTAATTGGAGTGTTCTGGATATATCTGTGTGAGATGGAGTACTTGAAAAAGAAGATGGCAGTTCAGAAAAATAGGCAGCAGGGCAAGAAAAAAATTAGTGTGCGTCATCCCATCTGAACCCCTGAATTTTTATCTAATTCGTTCTTGAATGTGTACAATGGTGGTGATGCTCTCCTAGCCCCTACAATTTATTAGGTTGTTCTGTTACTTTTGGCATAAGAACATTTTAAAAAAAGTTCTAGTTAAGATTCTTTAATTTGGAAGACAAATAACACAGGTACATCTGGATACTGCAATGAAGTCACAGATGGATGTATAAATTTAAAACACACCCTCTCCCACCCCTACTCCCTACTATCCACAGTTTGTTCGTCTGTTATAAACCAGGACTCCACTGTGCTAGATGCTGTACAAACCCAGAATAAAACATATTTCCCCCAAAAGATTTACAATCTAAGTACAAGAAAAGAGACAGCAGACCAAGGCAGAAAGACAGAAGAGAAGGCAGTACAAGCCACAAATTTGGATAATAGTGATCAGCTGGATACAGCCTGTCTTAATGCGTTAGCTGTCGAACTGCTGTCGGGTTTTTGGTTGAAGAAAGAAAAGTTTGAAGCATTGATAATGATGCTTATATTTATCATGTATAAATTCTCCAACTTGCCTGATTCATTTAGGTCTGGCGTTAATAACCAATTAAAATGTTAAGAAAATGTGCTCTCTTATTTTCTTCAGGAACTTGTCGTTTCATAGGATTTTAGAAACATAGGGCTGGTATTTTCCTTGAAAGGTCATTTAGTTCAACCTGCTGCTCAAGGTAGGATCATCCCTCTTTAACTCATCCTAGCAAATGTTTGTTTGTAGATAAACATGAATCAAACTTTTATCAGGATGGAAGAAGGAAGTGCCATTCATTTGTTTTAATGTGGCTGTGGATCTTCATTCATGCATAAGTAAGCTAATTGTGAACTCTGGAGAAGACTGGGAACCAGGGGATGGATGTTTCTTTTCTGATAGCTGCTCAGTTTGTTCTGTGACCTTTGTTCAAGTCACGTAACCTGTCTGTGCTTTGCTCTCAGCATCTGAAATGTTAGGACAACAAAAATATTGACCTCAGAACATGTAAGCCCCAATACAGTAAGGCTTGCAAAGTGACTTGGAGATCATTAGATTGCAGGTGCAATTGGAATTTAAATAATGTACTAACTTGACAGGCCAAGTTATGCTTGCATGAGTTCCTTTGTAGCAGTATCTTAGTCCTAATTGGTATGCCTTTACTGCCAATATGAAACAATAAAACTATTTTTGGAATTTTTTTTCTTTCAAATTTCACTTTAAATAGGCATGTTATTGGAACACAACTATTGGTATTTCCAGGTAATATTTCTGCCATATAAAGCCAATGCATTTTTTTTTGCTGATACTATTAATTTGCCTTTTCAGCACTGACAGCAATATCAGCGCTAGTAGCCCTGGAAACAGGCAGTGCTGTATCTGCACAGTATTTGAATGACAGTGATTCTGTAGTATGTGTTCAGGATAAGTTTATGTAGCACAAAATGGCATGCTATAGCACATTAGTTTACAAAAAGCAGATACCACTGTTTTCTGAAGCTAGTCACAGCTCAAAATGGCCCCTAAGAAGCCTTTGTAACATTGTTACACTACATGTTAGCAGGGTCTTTTTTTTTTTTTTCTTTTTCCTAGGTCTGTTCTCTGTTTGATATACGTGACTAATTCCAATTAACCTGAATATGCATTCATCAAGGGAAGAATGGTTCACCTAAAATATATTTAACCTCAGAGGTAGAAGTTTCCTGATAAGCACTTTTTCTATGTAGCTTGATTTCTGAATTGTAACTTGGCCAACACCACCATGCTTGACAGGTCAGTCAATAAAGAGTTTGCCAGTTTTGTTAAAACTGCACTCTCTCAGTTTGGTTGCTAACTGGCTGTCATTGCTACATCCTAGTTGACAAGAGACACACAGATCAGACACAGAAGGCTTTAGCGAATGGAAGTGTCAGAGAGAGACTGTGTTATGCTTCAGCTGTTACTAATTTATTAACCCTCTGGCACTGGCCAACGTAAGCAGAGGGAATACTTTTTAAAACTGGTATTCATTTGTTTCACTTCACCTCCCGGCTCATGTCTCACTGTTAACAAATGTAATTAACTCCAATAGATTTAATACCATATAGTAACTGCAGCAGATCTTGCCATACTGAGAATTTCGGAAGCTGGAATTCCCTACATCGGTTAATGAAATGAGAATGTTCCCAGAATCCTTCTGTATGATCTCTGTATCAGCGCGACTACTTTGACTTGAGCGAGGTAGTCAACTGTGTTAGTCTGAAATCAGGCTGCAAACAAGGTAGATATATGCACTTTATAGACTAATTAAGTAAGGGGGGTGGGGAATAAGCTTTTGTGAACTTGAGCTTGCTTAATCAGATGCTAGGAAAGGACAAGCATAGAGCAGTGTATAAAGTGGAGGTGAGTGATGTGAATACAAAAGGTTGAAAGGGAGGAGAGAGAGGAAGGGAGCAGCAAACCGAAAAAGAACCCATTAGGAATAAAGGGGTCACAAATCTAATCGAGCTAATGAGATAAGAATCCATAGTCCCTATTATAAACCATTCTTAACATAATCCAGTCTGTGGATAATTTCTTGTTCCACAGTTTCCTGTTCAAACTGGTTTTTAAAATTTTGCTACCTGTGAACAGCAATCCGGAGGTCACAGGTGTAATGTCCAGCGAGGTTAAAGTGTTCTGGCATGGCCCTTTGTTTTTTTTTCTCCACCTGATGTCTAATCAGTGGTCATTCATTCTCATACACAGATATTGGCCTGTCTGCCTGATGTAGACAGCAAAGGGGCTCTGTGAACAGGTGAT